TCCGATCCCAAATTATAGTCATTTTTTTTCTTTTTTGAGAGTGCAGTTAATAATTAATATATTAGCTTACTAATATACCCCTATTTAATGTACTTTGTTATTACAAGTATAAACTATACCATTATTTAGTTGTAGTTGGAGCAACAAATTAAAAACCAAAAAAATGTTACATCTTTCATAACATTTATTCATATGTATTTGGAGTACAAAATAGGGCCACCACCATCTATTGTCATCATTGTCTTAAACCATGAGTAAGAAATTAGAAGACCATCCATATTACCTCGATGTTTCTAAAGATATTCTTATAACAATTAACACCATAAGTCATGATTTGGACATATCAGTGAGGCCATTGCTCAATTTAAATGCTCCACCAACAGATGAATGTTACATTTCTTCTGCTCAAGAATATCGAAGTATTGTTTCTCAAATGATGAGAATTTTTCTACCCAAGTTCTAATGATTTTCTTCTCCCTCTTAGTATCAGATACGAAACATCAAGTTTGTCTGACTCCAAATATCCAGCAGGTTTCAAGTCTTTAAGTTATGGGGCTTAATAGAAGTTTTATTTCTTTACATGTCATCTTTCTCTGTTTCGTCCAGCAAATAATATCACTGCCAACTAAAATTTCAATTCACATTTAGTCTAATGGCAATCGGCAACATTCACTGCAGGTGAGATATAGTATTTTGAGAAGATATAAGTAGGAATAGGAAATAATCATAAAAGTGCTAAAGAAACATTTTAAGACTAAAAAATAAAAAATAAAAAAATACATTTTTAACTGAAAAATACAGAGAGCTGCAACATTTCAGTGCTAATCTAATCAATCAAATTACTATCTGTATTTTGAGACTTTTTGGTATCATTCAGAAAGAGCTGCCTTGGCCTCATTCAAAACTTGATACTCGCACTCAATGCAATTCGGTAATTGTCCATTTCTAATCAATTTTTGTTTGTTCATATATGGAATTTTGTAATGTGAAAAACACGTTGTTTAAAAGTGTAGTTGGATATGTGTTTAAAACCTTCTCCACAACTGAAATAAGTTCATCAATTGTAATTGGAACCTCTTGATGTTGAAGTGAATCAATAGCTCTAAAGAAATCGAGATCCAAGACATTCATATAGGGACTGTTTGGAGGTTGACAACACAAACGAATGTCATATCCATCTTTTCTTGCAGCTTCTACAAACTCAACTTCATTAACATCTAAATGTGACTTTTGCATTATCTTGTTGAATAAATATGTTCCTAGAACTAGAACATAGGCCATTTTTCTTTGATTGAAGGCAACCATTTTTCGATTAAACATGAATGAACAACATCTTTAGCAATTGTCAAAAATTGGCTTTGTCTCCGAAGTCCTCGCTCTACGGTTTTTACTATTCCTCTTTGCTAGTTCCTTAGACACAGATGGCCATATTCTAATTTTCCCATTGATCTCTTTATTTGAAGTGGCATCAAATTGTGGATGAGTGAAGACAGCCAAAAACATAATCTTTGGAATAATTTTTTTTACTTTTGGATGTGCACAATGGATCCGTTTCATTCAGATGGAGATAATACTTTTGTGACGTCTTAGTCATATAAAACCATTTTTCATCAATAAGAATTTGATCGTGCATATTAACAAAGAAAGGCTTAGATGCGAGTGTACCTTCATTAATCATTCACAAGCAAAACTCCAACCTTGCTTTCTTGTTGTCATTCATCAAATATGGTTTCACGGGATTTGAGTGTTGTCAAATATATCATTCTTTGAATCTTCTACGTAAGGTTGATTTTGGTACATTCATTGCATTTGACAAGGATCTTATGTTTATTCGATGACGAAAAGGGATATCTTTCATTTCTTTTAAGTCTATTTGAACTCTCTTACGATAAACCCTTTTCACAATATTTGAAGAAAAATCTAGTAGATCTCCATTTGCAGTAAGAGTTGACGACTTTTGAAATGACTCATTTTGAAAACTTCACCTTGGCTTTTTTGGAGTAGCTTTTCCACGACAACTATCTATTTATTGCAACTGAAATTTCTCTCTTTTTGTTTTTTTTATGACTCATATCTTCCAGCATTGTCTTGATATTATTACCATCTTGAAGAGAATCACAGGTTCCTGTCAAGTAAGAAACAAGTGGGTGCGGGCCCCACAATTTTTTAAAAAAAAATACATGTAGGGCCCGCCCTTAAACAGTGAGGAGCCCGTAAGGCCCCTGTGAAGATAAAACCCGTACATGCCAATTTTTTCGGTAAAATATATATCATTGGGTGGAGGGATATTGTCTGGCAAAACATTCATATCATTTATATAATATTTTGTGAACTATTCATTTTTTATTTTTTTAATTGTGATAATATTTGACCACGCCCATGCTTGAGTTACATTTTAGGAAAAAAAAATGCATTATTCATGTCAAATCATTGTGAAATGAGTGATTAAAAAATAAAAAAAAAGTTTTAAATTTACTTGTAATATTATTTTATTGAAAAATTTGTGTTGAAATGATTTCAAATCACTATTGAAGAATATATTTTTTTGAAAATAACGTGGCTCAAACGTGTGGTTATTTATAAAGTTCATTCAAAAAGTCGAAAGCAAATTTGGCGGGTGATTACAAATTATTGAAAAATGGCAGGCTTATATCAATTTTATTTTTTTATTTTATTTTTATTTTTATTTTTTGTTTTGATAAATGTCCACATTTTGGCAATTTTTTATTGTTTTAATATTAGATGACTTTGCAATGTTAATTACCTTGATTTTTGCATTAAATAGTGACCAATACTAAGAATAGTTTAATTATCATGAGCATTGTACTGCATAATCTTATTATCTTGAACATTGATTGCATCAATGTAGGTGTATGTTATGAAAAATAGTTGTAAAATTTATTATTTCAACTATATTAACTAAAATTTTTAAATTTATGTGAAAAAAGAAACACGACTATCTTTATGTGATTGATATAATATATAAGTTGATTGACTTCATTGTCATAGTAGTTACAGCGGCCTCCTTTAGGCGTGGTTTGTAGGCTATTACGTCAACACGAGAGTTTATCTAGTGCGCACTCGAAAGATAGCGACTATTGGTTCTCCCGTCATCAAAAAAAGAAAAAAGAAAAAAAGAAGGGGTCACATGCTACTAAAGATTTGTCTAAATGTGCATGAGCTTAGTTACGTGAACGTGGGTGAAATTGTAATGTGTTGGCCACATCATTCGTACATATATGACACCTCTAAGATGGAGCGAATAATGGAGAAATATATTACTCCCTGTGTAAAAAAAAAAAGGGGGGGATTTCTTCCATCTTTACACAAACTAAAAAAAAATAAAATAAAATAATTAATTAATATATTTGAAAAAATAAATTTTAAATTATATATATATATATATATATATATATATTTTTTTTTTTTTAATATTCCACATGAAATTTATTTCGACTTGAAATTTTAATTTATCAAGTACCCTATCTGCTTTCTAGTAATCGAATCACAAATAACTCCACTTTGATTAGGTAGTTAATCTAATCTAATAATTCATACTAGGACTGTTTTAGCATGTACAGCAAAATCATCTGCTGTTTATTTAGAGGTGTGAGGTAGGTGGCACCATTTGGTTTAATTATGATTCGATGTGAAAAAAACACACACACACATATATATGGACTGCTATGGTTAGTATTTTTCTTTCAACTCGACTTGGACAAAAATATGTGACCAACCATTTTTGTAGTTGCTTTAGTT